AGCCTAGCCAGGTCATCCGGTATTAGTTCAAGCAACTAGAAAGCGGGACGGCGAATACAGCGCTGCAACTACGTACCCTCCCTAAATCCGCTATGTAGTCCCCTGCATTCCAGCCTTGAACAACCAGGTGTTGAACCCAAAGTTCTCGAGTCACCAACAGAAGACGAAAGCCTGTATGGATCTGAAGTAGATATCCTCTGCTCGCAGTTGAGGTTACCCACTGATACAGATGAAAACCATACACAATCGGGAGCCGAGGCAATATAACCTCTTCCAAGGCGATCCAGACTTGTCCCTGCCTTCAGATTATTCGGGCGGTGGAGTAGGGGGGAAAGGAAGAATATCACTGTCGTCCGGGGTAACCAAGAGTCAGAAGGACATCTTCGATGAGCGAACTATTACCTGAATTATTATTGCAAACGGACAATTTAGAAGTTAATGTTTTGATAGCGTAGAAATATTAATACCATGTATTGGGTTGGCTCGATCCCACTCGAGCGTAAGAAGAATGCCAGGTCAATCTAAGACATCCCAAAGTCCAGGCGAGGTCCATCCAAGGAACCATCGGACAGGCTAATAAGCGTGATCGATCAGATTCTAATTATAACATGAGCGCCATCTGATAGATAGATAAACTGATCCCAAGGTCGGATGCCTGTCGGACTATACTTACTGTGACCACATTGAGAGTTGGCCGCCACACATCTGAAAATCGTCCAGCTTCAAGCTAAAAAGGAACGTTTATCCACGGCCCGGGCCAGTACTAGGAGGACGGCCCGACATCGCCAAGGAGCAGGGAATACTGTGGTTACTGGACTTCACGATTCTCGGATGGGCATACAGGAAAGTCTCAACAGAAACGCTACGACTGAAAAATAAGTCCCAATGTGTGTCACAGTGTTTGAGTCAGGAGAAAGTTCAACTCCGTGGCACGGACAGGTGGCGTTGCCGCTTACATAAGAAACAGGCCGCAAACTTTGTTTCTTCACGGAGTTTCATCTTTTAATGAATAAGAGCGATAGGTTGGAACAGATAAATAGAGTGAGTTTGTTTGGAAGGAAGGAATGAAATCCGCAGAGTCCGAGACGGCTGTACGTTTACAGTTTGGCCGTTGTTGATAAATAGTGATTGTGGCGCAGACAGTCGGTCTTCGAAATCAAGCTTCAGAGTTGACCTCCTCCGCAAACCTTCGGTGAGTCTCAACCTTGTCTTGAACTTTACTTTTGATGGGTGGCTGATCATATCCGTCTTTGTCATACTACCTCTCCTCACTGCTCCCCATCCTTGCCAACATGAATCAGCTAAGCGCCCGCCCAAATGGCTGCCAGCAACGCTCAGACTCCAGCGGCGAGCACATGGACTGAGCCACCGTGGTCAGGTTGGATAGAGACCACAGGCGATGCACTTCTCATCCTTGAAGCCGCGCGGCGTGGCTTGATACCCAGAGTGACCCGACGGCTGGTTGATTCAGAACGTAAGATGATCACGTCTGGATCCGTCTTTGTTTTTGACGAAGATGAGAGCGGGATCAAAAGGTGGACAGACGGATTTTTCTGGAGCCCTAGCCGGATATTGGGTAACTTCTTGCTGTATCGAGAGACGGACAAGAGGGGTGCGGGGCATAGGGGTGCGCGTTCGGATCCATCTGCGTCGGATGTCAACGAACAATCACAGTACAACGTGGATGGGGTCAAACTAGAGGGCCAGACCCTTAGTCGACCGAAGGGCGAGAGCAGTCAAATGGGCATCGACAGGCATCGAGAGAGAACGCTCATGGGCAGCTTGACGAATAGTTACAAATTCAAGTCAGAGGGTCTGATGAAAAAAGTGCGTTTGCCTTGTTGTCATCGATGCCGTAATCCCACTTATTCTGAAGCGCTATACAGACGTTTTCTTTAACCATCGGGGGTGTATCGCAGCACTTGATTTCTTACTACAAAATCGAAGATGTCGAGAATGGTCGTCTTCGGTGCCCCTCCTCCCTTCCCGAGCTCGCTTCTCTGGACATTAGTCCAGAGTACCTCGACAAGCAGCACTTCCGCAATCCTCCCAAGGTGGAAATTGGGGTTGACGGGCTGCCACGATATCGTGGCGAAGCCGATATTGAAGAAGGCTCTCCGACCATGTTGTCCGCTCCACTATCGTCTGGGGTACCTCTCCTCAAGAGTGTCAATGACGTTTCGGGCCCTAGTAAACGGGGCAAACGCTACGACCCCTATGGCAACGGGACACCCAAACGACCTCGAAAAAACAAAAATTCGCAAAATCAATCGACACCTCAACCGGACCAGCAACCAACTCCTGCGCCTCAGCCGCAACCCGAACCTCTCGGCAGTTCGACCCAACAGCCACAACCACACATGTACGCCGACCCCAATGTGCCAGGCATGGGCCATCCACACTACGCCCCGTACGGTATGCCTACGTACTATCAAATGCCTCCTTATCCACATCCCCACATGTACTCGCCAAACCCGTATCCACAGCAGTCAGGTACATCGTCGCCTCCTGCTGCTCCTCAACAATCTCTGCAGACACCGCAGCCTCCCCAAGCCCAGCCCCAACAGCAGTATCCATATACATACTCACCACCAGCAGCGACTGGTATCGATCCTCAGCAAACTGCGCAACAGCCGTATCAGTATCCTTACTATCCACCTCCACCTCATGGCTACCCTGGTTACCCGCCAGGTGTGGCATGGCCGTATACTGGATATCCGCCACAACAAGCCGCACAGCAATCAGCAACTGATGGCGCTACAGCAGCACCGACAGAGCTCGGTGACAAGTCTGTTGTCGAAGATGAAGATGCGGACGGCATGGAAGATGGGCAGACATAGCGCCCTGCCTTGCCCGGTATTCGACTTCTTTCATTCATGCCTCTACGTTGCCGTCTCTTCACTGTATTGTTGTCTATGAGTTCTCGTGCACCTGCATGACCCTCACCATGTATTTGTCGTTCTTCGTTCGCTTCCTCCTGGGTCCTCTTACACCTGTACATTCATTCAAGCGTGTCTACTGCTTCGATTTATAATGTGAAGATTAGCTCCCTTATATCACGTAGTTCTTTCCTTCTCTTTCTGTTGTTGTCTTACAGATTGTGTTGGTGCTTGTTGTGAAACATCCCGATACGGCCACTACGCCTATAACATCGTGACTTACCTTTTGTGGTAATTACTCAGATTTATGCTTTTGTCGCTTTCCTGTTCCTCCGAGTACATAGAGTGGAATATGGATTCTGCTGACCAGAAGAAAGAAAGGAGGTGAAAGAGAAGACAAATGAAAGGGGAAAAAAGGACTCGTACCTGCTGTGCTTGCAACGGCCCATACAAGTTGATTATTATGTAAGTAGCAGAGTCGAGCCTTCCCGATCAAGATCGCGAGATGACGCGACACCGCTCCAAACGTGGATTGTCCGCTTCGCTTCCGACTAGTGCTGAAATTAGAATTGGTTCGCCAAACTAGCCACTCTGAGCTGTGGCAACCGCTAGATCTGGTGAGATGGAGTGATCGAACTCGATTCCCTCGTCGCCTTGAGTATATTTGTCTAGCTCGCTCACAGTCATGCGTTTTTTCCTCCTCGCGTTCTTCTACTTCTTGTTCAATTGGTGCCTTGATGACGATCAAACCGCGCCAATAGATGCACTGGAAGTGAAGTTCAACAAAGGTTAGGCGACGGTTGGAGGTGGCTTTAATGCTCATGGATCGTTTATGATACATGTTCCAGATATCTGTAGCCAAGGAATAAAGCCGGGAGGCCAAGCCGATGTGGACTTCGTGAACAAAGTTGTCGTTCCGTATTATATGAACGAGACATGGCTTACCAAGGCTCCTCCGGCTGGTTAGTGTTGTTTTTCCTTTTGACGTCGTACTCCTTACTAAGCGGTATATCCATACTCCAGGTTGGGAGAAAGAACGACACAAGATTGTCGCCAAATGTCATAAGAACTCGTATAATTACTGTCTCGAGGCGGATCAAAATAAATGGAGCGACTGTGTCAAGGGCATGGCAGGCTCGCTGATGGTGAGCCGAACCTATCCGCTTCGACATATGAGCCTGTTACAAAGCATTGAACGAAGCTTAAATATGGCGCGACGGCGATGTCATTTTGCCCGATCTTCAACGAGAAAGTGGCAAATTTCCAGAAAGATGACCTGCCGCAGGTCAACAGATTTTTTACTCAATACTGCAAGACGAAGGGCAAAACGTGTTAGGAACGAAAAGCGGTCGAGCTGGGGATAACAACCGTCGTTCGCGTCGTATATGTAAATTTTGCCTCCAGTTTCTTAAAGTTACAGCAGTGGCATTTTTACAATACCTATGTACCTTCCTTACAGCACCTGATGGAAAGTGAAGTAAGTCAGATGTACAGGAAGAAGTACAGAAGACAAGAGGATCTACATGAATCTGGTGAACTAACAATAGATGATGATAAGTAAAAACGAGGACCCATACCCGACGTTTACCCACTCCTCATCCATCGCATCGTACCCCATCGGATGCACTCAATCCATAACGAGTTTCGATCCCCTAACCTCGGGATGCACAACGTATGAGCACCGACGTCAGTTGAACTGGTGCTGTTAGACAGTTAGAGGCTTAGAGCCGTCAACAGTGATCGACGAACTGCGGCCTGTACCGCGAGCGGTGACTTCGGTGAAGGCGGTAGTAGACACAGCAGACACGCCAGAAAGGATCCGAATATAACATCGCCGCATATCCGTCACATATTTTAAATAATGGCATTATTTAAAATTTACACGCGTGATATATGCCATTATTTAAAATATGTGTGACATTTTTCGAATATGCGGCGTGGTTATATTCGGGCATGTCTGCCGTGAGGACGTTTTGTCGAGGAGAATGTGGTGGACGGGGACCGTCGCCGTTCAACCGGTCAGTGGTTGGAACTTAGCGCAGAGTCGTAAAACAATGTGTGGGATCGAGCAAAACAGACAGTCTACGCGCTAAGCGTTTAGCATTGACTTTTAAAAAACATTGCGTTAACGGGGAATCGAACCCCGCGCTAGGCCATGGGAAGACCCAAGGTTACCACTACCCCATTAACGCCTGGCGGCAACTTCAGCTCTAACACACTATCTCACATTGCTGCGCCTTCAATAATAATCTTCAAACAAATTTGATTTCCTTGTTCACCATTGATCATGGCATCCTCGACGAGCTCGCCGAAGAAAAAGCCGATGGTCATAATAACCATCGGTATGGCAGGTGCTGGCAAATCGACATTCGTCCAACGCATCAATTCCTATCTTCACTCACTCTCACCCCCCTCCCCGCCCTACATTCTCAATCTCGATCCAGCCGTCACGCACCTCCCATTCGAGGCTAATATTGACATAAGAGATACGGTGAACTACCAAGAGGTTATGAAGCAGTGCGTGGCTCTTTCACTTCTTGCATGTTACAAGTCTCGGATTTTGAGTGATCAGGTACAACCTAGGACCGAATGGCGGGATACTGACCGCGCTCAATTTGTTTACAACGAAGTTTGATCAAGTACTTGGGCTGGTAGAGAAGAGGGCCGATACAGTCAGGTGTGCCCAATCGCTTTTGGTGTCCTTTTCTTGTCTAATTTTTGTTTGAAGCCATGTGATCCTTGACACTCCCGGGCAGATTGAAATATTCACCTGGTCTGCATCTGGAGCCATTATCACAGATGCAGTAGCGTCCTCTCTGCCTACAGTTGTTGCATACATAATTGATACGCCACGAACGACCGCCCCCGCTACTTTCATGTCAAATATGCTCTACGCATGCAGGTCCGCCATTAATGTATTATTCACTGCCAATGGCACTCACTACCTTTATTGCTGCTATAGTATACTCTATAAGACAAAGTTACCTTTTATCTTAGTCTTCAACAAAACTGATGTGCAACCGCATGCCTTTGCACTCGAGTGGATGCAAGACTTTGAAGCATTCCAAGCGGCACTCGCATCGCACAGCGGAACAAGGGACGCAGAAGGCGAGCCTACATATATGAATAGTCTCATGAACAGCATGAGTCTTGTGCTGGACGAGTTCTACAAGCATCTCAAGGTGTGATTAATGTTTGGATCGGTTTCCTTTTTCCTGTGTACTAATGATGGCAGGCCGTTGGTGTATCAAGTATGACCGGAGACGGTATCAAAGAGTTCTTTGATGCCGTGGAAACATCTAGAGATGAATATGAATCGTGCGCTCTATCATTTTTGACGGATCCCAGCTGACCATTACCCAGGTCCTACCTTCCGGAACTCGAGCGTGTCCGTGCGGCCCGTGAAAAGACACTGCAGGACGCCAAGGCCGATTCCATGAACAGATTAATGAAAGATCTCGCAGTAGATCGGGCGCAGAACCCTGATGCCGCTCTTTTAGATCAGTGGGAGGCTGAAGAAGACGAGGATCAGGAAGGTGAAGACATCGATATTGTTGATCGCAGTGAGCCCTTCTGTGAAGATCTGGATGTTGAATATCTTGCTCACTATGATTGGTTGGTCAAGGTGACGACCAATGGCCTGGGCAGTATATTGATGTCACCCGAGCTCGACGGCACGGTGCGGAAGATATCAATTGGCCAAGGCCTGGTTGATATCTGGTGATAATATTTGAATCGTTCATGCACGCGAAAATTAGAAGCATAAGATAGCAATAATAAAACGAAAAAATCGATGTATTTTGAACACACTGACTATCTACAAGTCAGACATCAGAATACCTGCACTGCAAGCCGGCACTAGGTATGCTGAGAACGTCGATCGGCCGGTACAAGGATGTCTCCCCAAATACAGCTCCGACAAAATGTACGTCTTGATGGTGTCGATGTATAATGGCTGAAATAGGTGTGAAGGACCGCGTCCGGTGGATTTGCTAGGCGGTAGACCAATCAGATTGTGCGTCCTGGGCTTGGGATGGCTGATGGATAATCCTATTTAGAAGCCTAACCGCGACGACGGGGAAGGCCACACGAGAAAAAGAGGGTTGAGCTGGCGCAACGCAGGCTAAGGAACACCGCAAGGAGCTTGGACGCAGTGACGTGAACTAGAGAAGTAGCTAGACCGCGCAGGACCCTTATCGGGATGACTACGATGAACATCGCCTACTCGTTGTAGCCGTGGATGGCAGGTAGGACACTGACGAGTGGGAACAGCAGAAGTCGCCCGCGTGTCAGATATGTCAATCCACACGAATCTAAGATCGTAAAACACTCACCTGACAGCCGACCTTTTTTCATACAGAACGATAACTTAGAGAAGTCTCGTAGGTAGGCAGCGTCAAAACGTGGAGCAGGACCAGCGGCATTGCTGTGGCAGCTTGCTTTCGACGATGGATCGTGGTCAAGTACATTATCTCGTCGGAGACCACTCGTCAGCGGAAATGGAGACCAGGAGGACGTGTTCAGAATGAAAGTTTTGAGGGATCGGGCTTACATATGCCTGTCGAAGATGCAGGACATTGAGGCATAGAAGAACGGGCAGCCGACCAGTGGATAGGGCCGGGAAGGATACGAGCAGAATGAGCCTGACCGCCTGTAAAGCGAGTTTCTGATGGGTTTTGAGCTCGGATAACTTTTTTCCTGGCCGATCGAAGTGTGTCTAATTGGATGAGGGACAGCGTGAGACATAGTCTCCCGTAGTCAAACCAAATATTGTGGGAGGGAGGGCGATCGTGAGACATGGCTGAAGTTGGTAAGTAAACCTGCACTGGTAAGAATACTTGCGCATGGCCAGAAATCTGCAGAGATCGACAGAAATTTTGGCCGCAGTGGCCTACTCACCTGGAAGTAGGGTAAATACCCTCGGTGCCGGTTTGCTAATTTGCATGCTCGTACGATACGAATAGACGGAACAGAGTACAGATTTTCTTTCCGCTGTTAGATGTTCGAGTCATGAACAACTCGAACGATAAGGTGTATCATCCCGACTTGCGGACTCCGGTCATGTGGGGCGATGGACGTGAGACATATATTTATACACTGGACGATCGTGACGTACCACTGACTCACCATGAGGATCTCAAAAGAAGAACTGCGCCAGGATTAGCAACACAGTTTCACTGCTAACTGGGGAAAGTTGAAGGATTAATCAGGGTCGGACCGAGCGGTTTGATTGCTCGGTCGCGCCATCATTTCCCCATGTCACGGCAGAACTGCGGTTGCTAGAAAGGCTGGGAGTGTTTTCGCGACACCTGTACATATTGTCAGTTAAACTCCACAGGCACACATTGCATGCAATTATTATGGAGGACCCACCAGACGACAAAAAGAAATATTCATAATTAGGACTCGCGTGTGTACAGCCACTCACGCTTTTGCCCAATATCAATGTTGTGAAACAAGCGGACGCCTGTTTCCTTCCAACCACGACTGGTAACCTCTTTCTATTCCTCATTCTCTAGCTACATCTGGCTCTGCGGCGTTGGCGGCGACCGGGATCTTAAGCGTACCCGCTTGACCTCTTACGTGTTCTGCAACAACGATCATTTACACAGTAAGAGAGCCATCGGCGCTCAACGGCATTCGTACTCCCTTTTATCGAACATTCGTCTCCAAGTTCTCCACATCGTCTGTTCAGCTCGCCTACTTGAAATCTGCGAACTTTTGGACCACTCGCTCGACGGCAGACTCGTCATGGATCGGTTAGCATTTTTTGTTGATTTCATGTCGCATTTGGGGATGGAAACTGATAGACATGGGCGGGTGGATTCTTTTTAGCTATGCAAAGATCGAGAAAGTTGGTGCGTGTTCAAAATATATAAATAGTCATCTGGCGCTGAACCACCAACACCAACTTGCGAAAACGCAGGCGAAGGTCAGTCTACCATCCTTTGACATTTCTAACTAAGTGATAGATGTTCAATTCTTGAACTACTTCCGTCCCATTCAATCTTGCCAGGTACATACGGTGTGGTTTACAAAGCCCGCGACACCGGCACAAATCAGATCGTTGCTCTCAAGAAGATACGGCTGGAAGCGGAAGACGAGGGAGTGCCCAGCACTGCCATTCGCGAAATCAGTCTTCTAAAGGAACTTAACGACGAGAATATTGTCAAGTACGCATCCATTTGTCCCCATACCCACTGTCAAATTCCATTTGCTGATTGCACTATATTGCACACTTCTATCTCACTATTTATCTTCGATAGGCTCTTGGACATCGTCCATGCTGACCAGAAACTTTACTTGGTTTTTGAATTTTTGGATGTTGATTTGAAGCGGTATATGGAACATGCAAGCACTGGTGGTACGCCCCTTACTCTCGAAATCACCAAGGTAACCTTAACTCCCTTCTTCTTTCCACTTGTATTGCGGTCTTGTGGATTTCTGCCGATTGCTTGCACGCGTCTTACGCGTGTAATCCACGCTGTCGCGTCTGATGACTATGGTCTATCCATAGCTTCCGTCACGCCCAGCGCTGGTTCGCGAAGTTCGCAGTTTTTCGGTGGTGTTATTATGGTCCTGTTATCGGCTCTGTTCTGGAACCAATTTGCCCTGGTAACAACCACCTTTCCACGTATCCCATGATCTAAGCCACAGCGCCACCCAAATTTGTGTCACGTGAACGCCACTTTGGCGCTCTTTCCCTAGTAAAAACGCAGGCTTTCGCTAATTGTTCACGGATTGGAGAGCGGCATACGTGGTTTCACATCGCAGGCTGAATGCGAGTGTTACGATCTCATTTTGCTGTCTCTTGACTCCGATCACTTGAAGCGCATCCTCATTTCTTCTTTTTTATTTTTAAACTCTGCTCCTGATAACACACATCTCTGACCATCCTTTACTTGATTTCAAAGAAATTTACACATCAACTAACCTCCGGCCTCCTCTACTGCCACTCTCATCGCATCCTTCACCGCGATCTCAAGCCACAGAATCTTCTCATTGATAAACGCAACAACTTGAAGCTGGCGGACTTTGGACTTGCCAGGGCATTCGGTATCCCTATGAGGACTTACACGCATGAAGTACGTTGTTCCCTTTTGCGCCCTATATCTGACAAGGCACTATTCTTATATCGTATTAAATACTGACGCTTGGCATTTGCGCCTGTAGGTGGTGACCCTGTGGTACC